AACAGTCTTGTTGGTCATTTTGACCCAAGAACAACAGTCTTGTTGGTGATTTTGACCCTAGAACAACAGTCTTGTTGGTCATTTTGACCCAAGAACAACAGTCTTGCTGGTCATTTTGACCCAAGGGCAACAATCTTGTTGGTCATTTTGACCCAAGAACAACAGTCTTGTTGGTCATTTTGACCCAAGAACAACAATCTTGTTGGTCATTTTGACCCCAGGGCAACAGTATTATTGGTCATTTTGACCCAAGAACAACAGTCTTGTTGGTCATTTTGACCCAAGGGCAACTATCTTGTTGGTCATTTTGACCCAAGGGCAACTATCTTGTTGATCATTTGACCCAATAACGAGTCTTATTGGTCATTTTGACCCAAGGGCAACAGTCTTGTTGGTCATTTTGACCCAAGGGCAACAGTCTTGTTGGTCATTTTGACCCAAGGGCAACAGTCTTGTTGGTCATTTTGACCCAAGTGCAACAGTCTTATTGGTCATTTTGACCCAAGGGCAACTATCTTGTTGGTCATTTAGACCCAAGTGCAACAGTCTTATTTGTCATTTTGACCCAAGGTCAACTTTCTTGTGTGTCATTTTGACCCAAGGTTAATAGTCTTATTGATCAGCAGTCTTTTTAGTCATTTTAACTCAAGAGCAGTAGCCTGGATGGTCACTCCAAGAGCAACAGAAAGGTTAAATGTACAATCTCCTCATGCTTCATGGTATAATCTTGTGCACTGTTTGTTTGTAACTTCAGCTCAGTTTTGGAGCGTTCCTGGGGATCGTTGGCATCCACCTGGTGGAGAACCGCAGACCCATGGTGAGTTTGACCTTCTGCACTTTTAACATCTTTCCAGTTCTATTAATTTACTAAATAACCACAATATTAGAGGTAAATCAATCTTTCAATCAGGTTTTTTAAAATCTCTTTGGATAAAACTTATTAACATCACATGTTCTAAATTACATAGGTAACAATACTTATTACAGCCCGATACTTACAAGGTAGTTCCCTTCTAATTACCTGGTGCTTACCACAGTACATAGCTGATCATGACTGGGAACTTACCAGTCATACCTGGTACTTATCTAGTACATGCATAGTACAAAATGCATGGGTACTTACCAAGTATGTGCCATATCCTAAACAGGTAGGTGCTAGATATTTACCTGATACTTACTAGTATCTACTTGACAAGATACCTGATATTTGCTTGGTACTTACAATATGTACCAGATCCTAACTGGGTACTTACCAGTATGTACCAGGTACTTTTACTTGATACTTACCCAGTTCATTCTTAATTCCTACCTAATATGTACCTGGTACTTACTGGTTACTTGCCTGATATTTACAGGTGCTTACCTGGTTTGTACCTGGAACTTGCCTGTACTGTATATCTACTAGGTATGTGCCTGGTTTTGTACCTGGTACTTACATGGTACAAGCTGGGTAAGTACCAGGCACATACCAGGCTGCATTTTGTATTTTCTTCAATGTTTTTATCCATGTTCTGGTCTCCTTGCCTCCTTCAAAACTTTTTTTAACCTTTTTGATGCATTGTCTGATTGTTACTGGTACTGTCAAATACAAAAATAACAAAAAATGCTTTACAGATTCTTACAGATTTATTGTTCAGATTTATATGTGGCTTAAACATAAACAGTAAAACCTTTAGGTACAACTTCATACTGCTTGTTGTTTTTCCAGGTTTCTTGCATCTTTTTGTTTTTTTGACTCAGCATCTAAAATCGAGGTCCTGTTCCTGGAAAACAGGACACATATAACATAAATTACATGATCTTATTACGCGCTTTGCAAATTTGCTAAACTGTTTTTATGGGAAATCGCTCTGTTGTGAGCAAGAAGCAAATCAGATTACTTGATGGCAGCATAATGAGTTCAGGGTCCTAGTGCCCGGGTCGGTGTACGTGACCAGATTTGTGGTCGGGAAAATTTGCCTCAGGACTTCAGTGACAGGAGGGAGAATTGTGTTAGCATTGGCTCGTCGCTGGTAGAGATCCTTTGTTTCAAACAGGAACACAAATAATTTGACAAATAAAATTACGTAGGTTCACAATTGGAGGACAAAATGTAAAACTGAAAATAAGATATCCTGATGCATGCATCCAGATGTGATTTTATACTCTGCCATTGAATCAGTTCAAAGCCAACATCAGCCAGTTTGTGACAAACAGTTCAATCCAAAGCAGCTAAAAGCAACCTGAAATTGCTAGATGACATTTAATTCCTGTAGTCAGGATCACGAGCATCATTTGAGAGCCAGCATGAAACTAACTTTAAAGACACCGGTGACACAGAGACCTGTTTTATTGGTGCCTCATTTCCTAATTTCTACACTTTACATATTCACTTCAGGTGTGCACTACGTTCTTTGGTACAGGGATTATTTTTTTAATCCACATTTCATTTATTGGATAATGTAAAGACAAAATGAGAATGATAGATGGACAGACTCGTCAAACTATCACTATAAAAAAAAAGTCACCATCTTTGTTTTTACTATCAAATGAAGACGTTTAGAGCGAAAATCTTTACATGCAAAAATACAAAACAAAGTTCAAGAGGTAGACACTCCTGTATTGCATGGTAGCGTAGCGCTACTTTAGTGCCGGCAGTTGTCGACCAGGGTGGGGTACAGCAGTAAAGCCTTCTCCGGATTCGCTAACCTTACTGTTGCTCAAATCCAGAATGCTCGATTATAACAACAACATTTATTGCTGGGCTGTATTTGCGCCGCTGAGTATGGTCCCTGTTTAAAAGCGAATAATGTACAAAAAAAGCAACATTTCATCTAGATTTTCTTACTTTGATTCAACACATTTAAAACATGTTTCTCACCAAGTTTGTGGAAATTCAGCTATGGGGATTTAAAGACATTAGGATGCGTGAGAGAAGCAGAGCATGCTTTATTCACACGAGGAGAGCTGTTGGTCAGGCTATATTTTGTTGTGCTTTGCTTTCTTAAATAGTTATTGAATCAAGTGTTTACATATGTAGGTAAACGTAGATGTTTAACAACTCGTTAAAATACACCAGAATGCAGGAAATGGCATTTACTTTATTCAAAAATTTATGGGGGAGGACCCCCAGACCAGTGTGTCCCCCACCCCACATTACAAATGCGTCTGACGTCAATGTATAATTCCTACTTTTCGCTCCAAGACAGGTTACATCAACCAACTAAAACTAAGTACAACAACTATCCATCCATCCATTATCTTTACCCGCTTATTCCAGTTTGGGTCACGGGGGTCGCCGGTGCCCATGTCCAGCAATCACTGTGCGAGGGGCGGGGGACACCCTGGACGGGTTGCAAGTCCATCACAGGGCCACATAGAGACAAACGAGACAAACAACCATTCACTCTCACTCACACCTAGGGACAATTTAAGTTACCAATCAGCCTAACATGCATGTTTTTGGTCTGTGGGAGGAAACCGGAGTACCCGGAGAAAACCCACGCATGCACGGAGAGAACATGCAAACTCCACCCAGAAAGGCCCCTGGACTGGGGTTTGAACCAGGAACCTGCTCGCTGAGAGGCAGCAGCTCTACCAGTTGCACCACCGTGCTGCCCCAAGTACAACCAGTTAAAACAAAGTACAACATGCTAAAATAAAGTATCATGAACAAGTGAAAATAATTCCCAAATGTTGTTTAGACCAGTTGTGAAAAAAAACTGTCACTGTCTTTTCACATAAGATTATATTTGACTAAACTAAGTATAAAAAGTACCTTGGATACAGAGAATTGTTACTTTTGTTGAATTGAGACTTTTATGGTATTTTCCTGAAATGCTTGATTTAAAAATGTTCTTGGCGTGACAGAGGTGTGTTCTCCGAGCCCAGCGATGGGGCTGATGTTCCTGAGTTTGTGTGTTGTGAATTTTTCATGTGGTGTTCCGGGTGTTGTGTGTTCGGATCACATTGAATTAGTTTATGGGACAGTGTGCCGTATCAAATCCGGTCTTTAGGAACACCTTTTCAAGTGGCGCAGTACTTTATCAGCTTCTGTTCTCTGTCGGTTCGTTATTTTTTCTGTTTCGGGGTTGATGATGTTGCTTCGTGGCTTTAGACGTGTGAAAGACAGTAACCTGCTGCGTTTTCGGCTGCTTCTTTGGCATGGTCACCATTTTTCTCTTCTTTAAACATTAATGTTTGTGATTGCTGCAACACAAGCGGCGGTCTATGGTGTCTCCTCTGAGACACGATGTCCGCTCCTCACACAGGTGTCTGATTCCTCCCTCCAGCACCTGATGCCCACTGGGTAACATGAGAGGGGGGTTGGTTCAGCGGAGCGTCTCATTAAAGAACAACTAGCTGCACCGTGAAGCTGCAGACACCTGAGAGCTCCGGGTATTTGGGTCCTCCGACCTCATAAAGCAACCGATGAAGGCCTTAACGCGGTTGGAAATGTAAACAGCGATAAATGTAGAATTATTTACGGCAACCAAAAATAAGTTTCCTGCTCGCCTGGAGGATCGTATTGGATTTTATAAGAAAATAATTTATTTTTATGACACTTTTTATTTTGATTGGTGTTTTTACAAGAGGTGCTATAAAGAATTTACTGATATGTTCCAGTTTTAAACAAAGATTTCATGCTCAGAGTATGTATTTAGGATGACTACCAGCTACCACCACAACAAATTTCAGTTCGACATCTTGAATCAAGTGGACTCCAAAGGTTGTTTAGTTGTAGCTGTGCATCCAATAGTTACTCTGAGTTTCATGTAAATCTGTCCAGTGGTTCACAAGATATTTTGCTAACAGACTAACAAACACATGCATTATCACCCACTTATTTTACATTTAGTGGCAACAGGTGAAAGGTGGGCCTTAAATTATAAGGTACTTATTGTGATGTCATGAAGACTGAAAAACTGAAAACAAAAAAAAAAAAGTGAAGTAAAAGTTTTTCTTGATGTGTCAAATTAAAAGTTTGTGACCGGTCGTAAATTTCAAACTGCTTTTGTTTATCTGTGGAACAAGCCAAAGTGATTGAAAATATTTATTTTATTTATTATTTTATTAGTCTATGGAAGAGTCGACCCGGAACCATTTTGATGTACTGTGTATAAACATACGTAAATAAAGGTGCGTTGTTTTTATTTAGTGCATACCTGCATTTCAGATTGTCTATCATTGTACGTGAAAAACTACCAAAGTAAACTCTTTCAAACTGCACCGTTCAGTGAAGCTCAGGATAACTTGAATGTCTCTAGATACGTCTAAATACAACTTTTATGTTTTTGCCAAGAAACTTTCTGTTTTAATGATAATTAATTTAGAGTGAACTAGATGGGATTTTAAAGCTAAAATAAGCAGAAATGAGCTAAAAGCTAAGAAAAGTAAAATGTTAGCTCAAAGACAGAAGTAGCTAATCACTAGAAGCTAAAATGAGAAAACCTCTTGCTAAAAGTAGTGAAACACCAGTTAAAAGCTAATAATAACAAAAATATATTTAAATGTGAAAAGTACCAAAAGGCAGGTCGCAAGTAAAAAAAGCAGTGTGGTATCTAAAAATAAAAAGTAGCAAAAAGCTAGCAAAAAAATTAAAACAGCGGAATAATAGCTAAAGGCTAGAGGTAGAAAAATAGTAGCTAAAGTCCAAAAGTAGCAAAATGATAGCTAAAACCTAAAATAAGAAAAGGTAACAGGTAACTAACAGGTAAAAGTAGCAAAAGACTATGTACAAGTGATGACGACTAAAAAAGCAAAGACTAGCTAAAAGCAGCAAAAGTATAGCTAAGATTTAAAAGTTGCAGAATTGTAGCATAAACCAAAGGTATAAAA